TACTTGTAGTTACTTTTTAAAACACATCTGCTTTTTTTCTTCATCCTCTTTGCCTTTACAAGACTCCAGTGTCTTAACTTTTTTGGCAGCACTGTTAATTTATGTTATAATGAAAAAAAAATCAGATGTATTCTAAATTTTCTCCAGCCTTCAGTTTTCTTTTCAAAGATGATAATTTTTTTTGTAGTAGTAGTTCTGCATTTTAAAATAACTTAGGATATAAATATTGGCTTATGTAGGAGGACAAACTGAAATTTCTTACTTACTTGTACAATCAGAGGCGCTGAAGCAGTTGACTTTACTACAAGCAGCATCAGTACCGACTCTGCCTCTTTGTTTTGGGTGTTGAAGAAGGATGTTCCTGTATTTAGAATAAATTGGGGGCCTATCAGAGGAGATGATGTGGTTATCCAAAAGCAGATAGGAAACTGGCTTTCTAGAATACTTTCAGGAAGACAAAATTCCTCCAGTATTTTAAGCCCTGCCTAGTTTTGCTTTCATAGTAGTATGCTAGCGCTGAGTCTTAAAAGATTTACCAGTTGACAGAAGCTCATTGAAAATACTAAATGGGAGAATGAAAAGGAGGGACAAATGAAAATTTTGTAAACGGGCTTTTGTTGAAGAGGAATATAGATTAAAGAAAACTTCTGTGAAACCCTAACAGAACTTTGAAATTAATTAACTTGATTACTGTAATACTAACATGTGGTTTGGAGTGTTTTACCTTATTAAACACTGACGTACAAACCCTTTATTATTCAGTTTTTCAGATGTATTAAAAATAATTTAAACCATGTTTTTCTCACTTGCTTGAAGGCACTAGGGGAATATGAAAAATTGAAGTCTCTACCTTAATAATGTTGAGATTTGATATAAAAAAAAAATTGTGGACGGAAGTAGATTAGTCTCTGTATGTGTCAAGTATGAAATTGTATGTAGATAATGGAGATTACCTAGCAAACTGTACCTTAGGAAATGGTGTGTCTCATCATTTTGTGAAGTCCTGTGCAGAAATACAAGAAAAAAGGCCTGAGTTTAAGTAAAAAAAGTCACTGTTGCCTACTGTTCCTTCATGTTGGATAAGAATAGCCTTTTCCTGACTGATACATAAATTAAGACTAATGCTCTTAGGCTGCTGGTACTTAAGGCAAAGTTAATGGGACAAAAGAAATTGCTTGTAAAGAGGAAAACAATGTAGCCTTGGGGAATTACAGGTTTTGGGCTGCGCATTTTGATTCATGCTCCTAAGAGGTCTTGATTCTTTCCTTTCAGTGTGTAGTTTTGAAAGCTGCATTGCACCACTGTAACTGCATTCCTGAAAGGAGTTCACATGCAGAAATGAATCTGTTCACTACATCTGCTGGGCACTGAAGATGTGAAATATCTCATGAAGGTTGAGAGCTTTATAGGGCTCTGGCTTTTGGGCTTTTGTTCTTGGTTGTCTGCCAGTTTTTGCAGCCAGCTCCAGGCTGGCTTCTAGAGGCTCTCTTGGCACTGCTGTTGGACAGGCCTGCTCCAGAATGCCTGTGCCTGGGAGGCAACCCTGCCACTGCTGCAGTAGTCACCGTGGAACTAAGGACCGGCTGTCACTGGGAAGCTTTTGTTGGGAACAGTATTGACAACAAGCAAAACTTTCATTTAGGCTTTTAATTGGCTGTCATAAGTAAATTCTTGGTACATAAGACTTTTCTTTATACTCTTTTTAGATGCATATTTGTCAGTTTTTATTTAAATAATTTTATACACAATATTGGATAATCTGTTACATTAATGCACAGCTTAAAACAGTTCTTATTTACACTGATCACAGACAGAGGAATGAGGACAAATACTTTACATTCACCATCTTTATCAGCATTTTAAGTATAGTTAACCAGCACACATCACACACATCCATATCCGTATTTATAAGAAATGTAGTTGTTTCTAACCACACACATGGACATGTAGGTGTCTCCCTTTCAAAAAAAAGAAATAAATTGAAATGCCATTTCCCCCAGACAACCAAAGACTTACTTACACAAAAAAAAAAAGTCAAAAGGACTTGCAGATTGCACAATTAATGGAATAGGAAGTGGAAATGTGGTGGCTATGTTTGGACGCTTTTGGTCACTGGGCACTTTGGAGAATATTTTTACTAGTGACAAGTTTTGAACTCTTATGAAAACTTACTCCTGAAAACTGCAATGTGATCTCTTGCTTTGGAAGTAGACTTACTGGACACTAACACATTGGGTTTAATGTTGTCTAACAACACAAAATTGCAGCTAAAGGATGCTTTGGATTTTTATTTTTAACTTTTTTTAGAATATAAAGTAAAAACATATGACTTCTTTTATGAGATTAAGGCAGCAATGGAGAAAATTGTGCTACAATGTGCATTCACTGTAGATAATGTTCTATTCTTCTTTTTCACGTTTTTACATTAATAATCAAAGGCCAACATATTATTGAACTAGACTGGTTGACTACAAAATCTTTTAATGAAGAAATAGGTCTTGTGTGATAACCATGGCACATCAAAGTTGAATTTTTCGCCTTACAATACACACTTATCTCTATGAAAATTAAAAAAACATGTAAAAATATTAAAGTATTTCCTGTATAGAGGTACCCTTACCTAAGGTAAAGTCTAGTCACTGCTATAAAAAGGTATTAAAAATGAAGTAAAACACTAGTGTAAACCAAGTAAATTCTCGCTATAAAACTTTTATTTGTAAGGCAAATCTTCCTTAGACCTGTAGAAGCTATCTTCAAAATGTACTATTTGGAGATTTCTCCCTTTGTAGCTGATACTACCCATGGCAAACAAAAGCAGAGTCCTGCAGATAGGTTCACAGAGAGTGCAACATAAATTGCAAATGCAGGTCACCTACAAGTTTGAGGCCTCTTGACAGTGACCAAGAATATCACCATGACACCTTTAGAAGAGAGTTGGCTTAAGGCTTAGTAATTATGCTACTTCACTGAATTTGTTCAGTTCCCTTATTTAAAAGAATAAGCAATTTTCATTTACTATGGTAGCTAAACAAACATCTTTAAAAAGAAGGAAAGCAAAGCCCAGAGATGGCCCAATCTTGTCAATTCTTAGGCAAAAAAAGCCCACATGAAAACTGAAGGCAGGAATGGTTAACTTACATGAAGGCTGCACTGCTGGGCTGAGACCTAAGCCTCTCTGGTTCTCCCCGTCTCATCTTTCTGTCAATCACTTGCATCTGAACACTTACATATTTGTCTATGAGGGACAGTTTCACTGTCATGATATCTGTGTTACTTGTAGTCTTCTGGCTGCCTATTGTTTCTCTGTGTGCTTCTCAGTTGTTAATACATGATTGCAATTTGTCTAAACATATTCTGGTTTTAAACAATGAAGGAAAACTGATCAAATTCAGTAGTTAAGAGCAGCTATGTTACACTGCTAGGTTTTTCTGCTGGTTAAAGCATCTTTATCTGCCATCTAGTTCTCTTTAGTAGTCTCTGGTGCAGGTAGATGCATCTAAATTCAGTCTCAGGCAGTGAACAGTAACAATGTATGGATTAAGCCCCAGCTGATGATCTTAGTCCTATGTTGATTTAATTTTCATTAGGAACAGTGTGCAAAAATTTAATTCTTTTGCCCTGGGAAAAGTTTCTTTGTGCATGGCATGGCTTACAAGTCTTGTCATTCACCAGCTAAACTTAAGCAGGCAAACCCGACTAATTGTACTTCTAATCTCAGCTATGGAACACTTGCATGCCGTATTGGTCAGCCCAAGTGGTCTTGGCTGACTATCAGCAGAAAACTGTTCTTTGAGAATATGGATTAGAGGGGAAGAAGTGCTTGGTGAAATGTTCCAGCTGAAGTCTGAGTTACAGCAGCCTGAAATGGATGACCAAAATCCCATTTTCCAGCACAGAAACACTCAAACATGAATTCTTTGAGATACAGCTATACCCTGTATATCATCCTCGCTGAAACTCAGTGATCACAGATGTGGCAGGGTTTAACTGGAAGCTTAACTTCTGTAAATTATTTTTTTTTCAGACTGCTTTGCAGTATCCTGTACTAGTGTACCCTTTACCTAAATAAAGCCAGAATGTGTCTGTTTTTTTTTCATGCGCCAGCTAATATTAGTTGAGTAACTGGTGATCTTTAACCATCCAGGTGTCCAAGCAACTCACAGATTCAGTCCTGCATGGTGATTTCTGACCAGCTTTGCTTAAAATAGTCCATAAGCTACTTTCAGCTTGTATATGGATATGAACCTAGTAAGGTCATGACAAGGTCCTCTTTCTCACTTGTGTGATGTATTATGGACAGTTTAGCTCCATATTCTATAGCTTAACTTTCCATGGGTCAACTAGGTCAGCCCACAGGAACAGGAATATGAGTATGAGTCAGAGGAAGGCAGACTGAAAAATTGTTTCCCTTTGGAGGAGATTTTCTGGAGGTGTTTCCAGAAGACCTGTCTCCCTTTACTGCAGCTAAAAGACTCAGTCTATTCAAGGGTCTAATCTGAAACATCATGTTGGCCTTTAAATTAAGGAGATTGAGTTCTTGCTCATGACCTGATCTATGGACCTTACGTATTCTTAGCCCTGGGAAAATAAAGCGTATAAGAACAAGTATATTCTATTTTACTGTTTTGAGAGGCTCAGAGTGCACACATAATTTCTGCAGGTAGAATATATACTGCCATTTGTTGAGCTGTGGGAACTGCCTGATGTCTGAGTCTTTCAAGCCCATTTAAAAATGTTTTAACAGGGTACTGCAAATAAAATGTAAACCTTGTCTCTTTTGAAATTGCTGATCTAAACTTAAATTTGGTTCATAGGGAAGAAATTCTTAAATATTTGCTAGCGTCATGTGAAACTTGGTGAATCAGTTTTCAAGACCAGGTTGGACGAGGCCTTGGGTGACATGGTTTATTGTGAGGTGTCCCTGCCCATGGTAGAGGGTTTGGTACTAGATGATCTTGGGGTCCTTTCCAACCCTAACTATTCTATGATTCTATGATATGAACAAAAGCCATTTACTTACCTAAAAACAAGTATCTGCTAATTAGTGCTGTATGAATCAGAAGAACTGCAAGATATTAAAAGCAAAAGAACTTTCTACATGGCCTCCTACAACCTAACGCTACAAAATAAATTCAATTTATGTCAAAACAGTAGTGCAAGAAGTGGATATACATCTGAAATGTCTGGGATTGACCTTTCTAAATAATAGCATTCAAATGGTGTTTTGCTGAGAAAAAATGGCCAATTATAGGAAATTTCCTCTGGGAAAATCGTATACAACACACTTTGCACATGCAGTTAAGGAACATGTACAACAGTAACTGCCAAGGATCTCTCCTACATTCTATATTTAAAATATCATGTTTGATCCTGGTTTTCCTGCAAAATCCTTCACTATGGTAAGATGTCTTTCAAATGTTGCCAGGGTGGATGCCTCAGGACATGACAGAACACAAGAGGGACTGACAAAGAGATACGGTTCAAACAGGGGCTGAACACTAAATAGCACTAGTGCTTTTTGGACTACTGCCCAAGAAAGAGCTGCTGTGTCTACCAGAAATCTGATAGTAATGTAGCTTTAGGAGAGTATCAAGTATATAAAGAATTACCCTGCTAAATGACAGCAGAAGGAGCGCAAAGAAAATGGAGGATCTCTTTCCTTGGTGCTAACTTTCTGTAGCTTGATGAAACAATACAGATCATGGCAGAAAAGAAGGTCAGAAGAAAGATTATGATGTATGACAGCTGCTTCCTTTATCAGATTAAAGAAGGCTTTGAAAAAAATATTTTCTGAAGCTGTCAAGTGAGCTATTTAACTGCTTCACTAAATTCTTCCTATTGGCTTGTTACTAAAAAAGACAACATAATTAGCAAGCAGATGATACTGCATCTTGAATAAGCTTGTATCAAATATATTCCTTTGGAAGTGGGCTGCCTACTCCATCAGCATACACTTGCCATCCCATGAGGGTGTCTCGGAGAGAGGGCTTTTTCCCACAATATTTATAGCTGAGTGAAAGAGTGAGCTGTCCGGCTGAAAATTCAAGACTGAATTAGAGAAAGGCTTGCAGTTAAAACATATGGGTGGTAAGGACCTGGATGGTTATGTTGTTTTAAACTACAAGTGGTTGAACTGAAGGGAGATGAATATGTTGGTGGCATTTAGTATTTTCCATACTGAAAACGTATTCTGGAGCTCAAAACAGGTGCTTAAGAGGAGCTGGATGCCAGAGCCATGGCTTCTTATTGGACTGTCTGCACCATATCACAGAGTGGAGAAAAAGAGTATAAACTGTTTTTCACAAATGTGTTTGTCATTCGAATGAACACTATTTAATATCTAATGGCATCATTCATCATCCAAGAGGCATGAGGTAGCTGAGCATTTTGTTTTGTAGAGAAATGAAGACATTGTTCTTCATCTCTGGGATATAAGTTGTATTATTTTTGGGGATACTTCCTTTGGCTAACATCTTGAATTTAAAATCTAGCTGTGCACTCAGGCAATGTGTATTATCTTTCTTTTTCATTTGGGCTATTCCTGGCAGTAAGATTCCTGCTTTCTCTGACTTGCCTATCATCTTCTATGCAGATTGTGAGCTCTCTATAAAGCCTCAGAACAAGATGGCAGTAATGCAGTGGAGTTCTGAGCTATAAATACTACCTTAAACCTAAGAAGTTATTCAGTAATAGAAATAATGGAGCAGATAATTGCCTTGTGAGTTGGGATTAAAAATACAATCAAACCCTAATATGCTGGGTAAAGCTGCTTGCACTCCCATGTTAAAATAGCTTTGCTCCTATTTCAGAGCAGAGGGGTGATGACATGCAACTTCTCCTGCGTGGGTTTTGCTATATGGATGGTGGTGATGGGGTGTGTCACAAGTGATGTAGGTTGGTAGCATTTCCAATCATGAGTGAACCAAACAATGCATAATGTGACAAGCTATTAAAGCTCCATGTAAAAGAGCCCCCAAGAGTTTCAAACTTAGTAATTATATCTATGCTAAGAAGCTTTAGAGCCATGCCAAGACAGTGACTGAAGCTGCTGTATTATTGAAAAGTAAGCTTTATAACAATGAAAGATTCTTACGTAGTTTTTCAAGCAATAAAAATGGGATTAACTATGAGGTTGGTAGGATGGCTTTTTTTGAAGCCCTCAACATATTTTCACTGTTTGGCCTCTTGAGTAATTACAGGCCACCCTTGAAATTCCTTTATTATTGAAATATATTTTATAACAGGTTTTAAACAGCTATCGACTGTCAGCTGGGCCAGTAAATATGACTTTATGATTAGGAGAAAGTATCCTTTGGGTTTAAACCTTACTTAAGTAAAACTACTGTTTGTCACAGGAACTCTTCAAGAAAAGGACAATTTGTGATATATTCCAAAGTATTGATGATATTGGAGAAGACAGGTGAATAAGGAAATTTCCCTTCCATTATTGTGAACAGAAATCAGTGTTAAATGGAAAAGTCCAAAATCACTTAGGACTTTTAAATTGGGCTATTTTTAAAAAATTAAAGAAAACCTCAACAAAAATTGTTTCATACATAAAAAAGCTCCATCCTTTTAAAGAGGAACTGCTACATACATTTGAAAGATGAGTTCAATGTATAGAGGCTAAAAAAATCAGAGGTAAGTTCTGGAGGTAAACTCTGGGCTGGATTCATGAGAAGCCACTGTCTCTGAAAATTGCTGTAGATGTACTGACAAATAAGTATAAGAAGTAACTCAAAGCTATCAGATCCAGTGATCACTGGGAAGATACTACAGTGATAAGTGACCACAGCATTAGAACAGCACCCAAATGCAGTTTGTTCTGTATCTTCTACCTTGCATAACACTACCAGAGAGAAGAGCTGGAACATGTTTAGAGAGCTGAGTATGCCGGAAATACCCTAGACTATTCAACAGAATCTTACTATGTGTTGTAGGTGACTCCAGGTTAAATTATAGTAATAGCATATTCACAGCAGGAGAATAAAGCCGAAGTTTGGTATTTTTTGTGCCTCTGGGTAGATTACGTAATTCTAAAAATTGTTCTATCTTCCTATGCATTTTACATTCTTTATTTCCAACAAAATATAACACAAAAATGAATGTCATTATTTGGGTTTCACGTTCATACTTAGCTGAAAAAGTCTGTGGAGTACGGATTGCATGATAAAACTATTTCAATTGTTAACATAAGGGAATATATCTTTCATGAAGTATAGGGTGGTAGTAAACTGTATTCTGTACTTAGTGTCAACAACAGGAATTCTGTTCCTGCTGCTCTTCAGCTTGTGTAATTAAACTGGACAGGAAATGGCATGGACATATATAGGAGAGACAACCTTCTTCACAAAGAGAAGAAAACCAATATCAAACCACTGAAAATGTAGTAATGAGTTTTCAGTTTATATCCCCAAAGATAGTATGGCAAGAAAGCTAATGATATTAGTACATAGTTAAAATTGCTCTTTCCTCATAATGGAGATGCACTCTTTCTTTACGTCTAAGAACGTTCAGGTGTTGTTGGTTTAAAATAGGTCGTGGCATGAATATCTGAAGTAATCATTACTGTCAGAAAATTTTAATTGACTTCTTCACACTAAAAGAGCATTTAACTTATGTTGATTGCTTTTTTTCTCTGCTCCCGCCTCCTCCACTTCTACCAATAGCAAAACTCACAAGTTTTGGTCATGTAGGGATGTCATGGCACCAAAGGATGTAAGGAAAATTAAACAGTGTCTTTAAAGATCATTTGAAGCCAAGTAATAGAAGGGAGGCATTGAGAACAGAGAGTGGATGTCTTCCCTCAAAGAGTCAGTAGATAAGCTCTGAGCCAGCCTGGTCCAAGCATTGTCGAGGGAGCTTTGAAGTTGACGTTTCTGTATTCTCAGTTTACCTTAATATATTGACTTTTTCCTCAACCTATTGGTTGTCATATTGTTAGCCAGTGTTGAAGCTGTAAGGGAACAGAAGTATTTGTTAAATAACACCATTGATTCAAATGATGATAGTAAGAAAGTTTTTAAATACAGTGTTTGACAAATCTCGAGTTACGAAGAGGTTTCAAAGTAACATAGAGATTGTAACTAAATTTCTGTGGATTCCAGTTTCCAATGAGAAATGTGCTGAATAGAAAAGCTATTTTAGTCAACTCCTAGTTCAGTTTTAAAATTCAGAACTGCTGAACATATATGAGCAGGAAATTTTTGTACTTGTTTGGTTATGGTAGTCAGTGTTTTGTTTACAAGCTCAAATATTATGAACAAAGCACAACTATGAACTAAAGCATAACTATGCTTTAGCAATAACAAATCTATTCTTTGCTGTTAGTTGAAAACAACAAATTAATGCTCCCTAGTGTTTGGTGTGGTTTGAGGTATCATTAGAAATTTATTTCTGAGTACAATCTTTCCTAATTTATGTGAAATTCATTTGCTTCTTTTTTTGCCATCAGAGATTTGGGTTCAGAAGAGCAGTACTCTTTGTAGGAATGGTTGTTTATAGCCCATTCACACAGGACCATCTGCCTCTGGAAAAATCAGGTTATTATTTACAGCTGGAACATTAAATCCTCAGACAACTGAGGGCAGGAATGAAGGAAAGAAGGTAGGAAAAGGTGCTGTGCTAGTTCATATTTTTGGGCACATCAAATAAATTGTGGTCATGAAACAGGAAGTCTTTTCTTCTTGCTTTCATTCTGCATCCCATAAACCTACACTTGGATTATATCCTATAAAATTAAAAATTACGCTTCAAACACTTTTTTTCAGAGTAAGCAAAAGACAAATTTCTTTTTTCAGTACCAACATACAAACCACCGCTATAAAATCTGGGTCACATTTTGAGGTGGTGTACATAATTCCAGTTGCTTTCAACTTTGAAGAAAGAAAGTGGTCAAACATGAACGCTGATAAGTGTAACAAGCTTCACATTTGCATCCTTTTCATCTTCTACAAAAAGGACTTTATTTCAATAAGCTCATTTTGTTTGCAGAAAGGAAAGCACTGTTTGGAAGCCTATAGTATATTTTTCATGGCTGCTTAATTGAAAGTCTCCAGCAGTACTTTCAAAGAACTGCAGGCCTGTGGGGAAAGCTAATTCCACATAAGCTATCACACTATTTCATTATGGCCGTTGTGCCTAAGATCTGACACTGGCTATTTATTTTTCTGTTTACCATGTATTGTGCTACTTAATTGGAGTTCAGGAAACATGACTTCAAACTGCTGTGCATGCCTGAGAGACTATGACCTGTACAAATGTATGTGATAGTTTGGAAATGCCTTTGTCTCTTAGTGAGATCTCACTGTGTTCAGATTCAACCTAAAACGCTGGATTTGGGTGATCTGTAAAATAATGGGTTCTGCTTAGTAAAAGAAGGAAGGTACCAAAAGCCTTCCAGAAGAACTGATGCGTACGGTACTGATTCCTTCTGCACCTTGTCATGCTGGCAGAAATAAAGGACCACAGACCTGCAGAGGTTTGGCGCAAACCTGTAGTTGCTGCTAAAGACAGAAAAAGGTTGATATTGGGAGACAAGTTTGGTGAAAGGAGTACAAACCTTAAACTGCCTGACATTTCCTTGGGCCACGAGTTGGTGCTCATTTTCGGGTGTGATGCAGTAAGCTAGTCTCTAAACCAGATGGGAAGAAGAGAAAAAAGTCAGCCATATGAGGTGGGGCTATGTCTGTAATCCCCAATCTATAATGGCGAAGTAGCATGAACTTTATTTAAAATGGTAACTTAGATCTTTAATATCACTGCATCATGTGCCTTTAACTTAGTCACTGAAAAAACAAGCTTATTTTAAACCCCTTGGCATTAGCCTTTAATATAAGAAGCAACAGTAGAAAGTTTATGCAAATACAAAGTCCAAATATTTAGCAAGTGCATATGGAAAAGAACATCAGGAACAAGTTGGTATCATAGGCCTTAATCCCCTAAATTCACACTTTTCTGTTTGTACTGTAATGGGATTGCTCAGTCCCAGTGGGAGTGAAAGGAGATACTATTTCTTAGCTCATCTCCCTTGCCTACCCACTCTGCTGGGATCACATGTGGATTTTGTCTTATCATTAAATTTTAACCAATTTAAGGAGTTCCTATTAGACTAAGAGCACACCTTTCCTCTTTCTTCTAAGAGCCACAATTTAGGGTATCATCATATCTTGTGACAGTTATTTGGATGTAATACACTAGACTTTTGCTATATTTCTCATGAAGTGACTGGAGAATTTCTAACTATAGGAGCCTGTACTATAGTACAAGCCAGACTAGTTGACACTACAAAACTAATGAGAAAATGTGGGTTTGGTCAAAGTTTTTTGCATTCCTATTTTCTGCTTAATTCTTTGTGTGGTGGTGGTTCAGTGATTTGCTTAAGAACATTACTGTCTTGCTACACCATTGTCTAACTCCAGCTGTAGGAAAGGAGAGCAATAGAACCAGCTGTAAGTGTGAGAGTCTAGGTTAGGTTGTAAAATTATGACATGATGGGATAAAAACTGATATTATAGAATGGTGAGGAGTCTTACATCTGAGCATCATTAGAAGTTTTAAGACTGTACTTAATTTGCTATGGCTGTAAAATTAGTACCATCATAAGACTGATATGGGCAGTGAATTATAATCTTACTTCTTTACCCTTTGGGGTACGGGATTGTAGTAGAGAAGTAGGAATTGGTAGAGAGGTAAGGGGAGGTGAACTGTAAGGAAATATAGATGTGTTTCTTCCTTTTGCATAGGTTCTTTTACAGGTTCTTTTACATAGATTTATTACTACACTTAAACATATAAATGAGGTTAAAAGAACACTATTAAGGCTGTAGGTTTAAATGCCATTAGGCAAATCATGAGAATAAGATGTTCACAAATTGTTTCTCCTCAGTTTCTTCTTTATTCAGTGCACAGACTAGTCATATAATGCATGAAGTGAGTTTATGTAGTGCAAGATGCTGCTGTCTAGTGCCTTGGTTCTTTTACCAAATTAGTTAAAAAGCAACAGGCTAGATGAGATCATAAGTGACTATACAAGAATTTTCTTGATTTCCAGATCTATGCCAGCACCTATCTTGAATATTATTTTTTTTCAAGAATTCTAATATTACTGATTAAATCAAAAGCAAGATCTTCATTAATTATAGCCTTCAGAGAATGTAGAAATAATTCCAGTAAGTAGAGGATAAGGGCAATGGAAATCAAACCCGAAGTGGCTGCTGTTAAAGGCAGAACACATAGCTAAATGGACCTGTTGCTGTCACCCAGTAAGGCATTTCTTCTGCCCTTGATGGTTGTTCATTAAATGAACAAAGGCCATCCTGAATACAGGGCAACTCTGGGGGCATCCCACTTTCCCAGCATGTGGATATATATTTAGAGACTCTTCAAATGCTAAGTTAGGAGCGGTCTGAATTAACTTTGTACTTGTAACAGTTTACAACACTGCGGTATAGCTTGATAAAGCATACCTTGGATTGACCTTTGTTTAGATAGAACTGTGTGAAGACTATATCTCACAGATGAATATGAAGATACCATGATTTGTATTTTTTGTTAATAAGAAAAAAATAATCTCATCAATTGCATTAATTACATGCATCAAAAATATTTTTCCAGAATTACTGTGCTGAATGGAAAGGTAATTTCAAACAGCATGCAGTAATCCTACCTCAAAATTCCAATCCATCTGATGGTTGAATCCAAAAGGTCATTCACAAGTAATAAGTTGTGGGAGTAAGAGAAACAAACTACCAACTTGGATCCAGCCATTTAATTACACAGCAACGTACCACGACATTTTATGAGTGTTCCACTTACCTCTTTAAAGGTCCCACGCACATTCATGAATTTATAGATAATATAGGCAGGCACAAGTATCATGGAAGACAATGCTATTCCCCAGCCAATGCGATTTGCCCAGAGAGGGAAGGTGTAGTCATCATAGGTCAGAGGTTTGAAATTTATTATGCTGACTATCACGACAAACTAGGGAAGAGAGAATAAAATGAACCACAATTTTGAGATGAAGTAACTTAGTGAAAAAACAATTATATGTATTTTATTAGGCAGCCCACCTAAGGTGTATTTCAAAACAGTTTTACTATTTACCTTCATCTTATTTACTTTGTGCTTCTTACTGCTTAAACTGCTGAAGTTCTTTATGCATTTTCTAATATTAAATGTTCATTTTAGCTACTTTGGACACACACAATATGAAAATTTGGTGGAAAAAGCAGGTGGTTGTCTGCTACTGCTTCATTTAAACTTGTGTTACAGATGTAAAAAAGGGATTATGTAGTCAAGAAAAAACTCTGCAGGATCTGTTGGGTTTCATTTCTTTGTTTCCCAGAGATATTAGTCTTCATTTTGAAGTTTTGTACTCATTTTTCAATGAGAGATATAATGCAAACTCCAGTATGACATTTTTTCTGAGGAAAGGTCAAGCAGCCTTAAGGCCTAGAGAACAAAGGTTTTGGGTTTATTTTCTGTTGGTGTTATCCTGTCCAGTACTGGATGCATGCAAGTAAGAGTGAAATACTACCCTATTTCCCTCCTGCTAAATCCATATGGGCTGTGTAGCATGTAGAGTTCCTTGGTTTGGGTCTCTAGGCCTATACATTTTCCATTGCTCCACATAGCATTTTCAAGTTAGAGTATTTTGAGCTGAGAGTTACAAAGGGAGCAGTAGTGTGGGTTAAAGGAAGTTGATACTGTGAAATCTGGTTAGAAAACACCAATTCCCTTTTGAGGTTTTTCTTGGGATGATGTCCATAGCTGCAGACAATACAGAGAAGAAGAACCATGGCCATATTTCCCGGTATCAGATACTTGACCAAGTCCAACTTCTTTTCTCTTAAAGATAATTAGGAACTGCTGTAATACGTTACTAGTCCCAAACAGGGGCCATCTTGCACGAAGCATACATGGGATTGTTAAAGCAAGAATCATACTGATGTCTGACAATCTTGTAGCCTTTTCCAAATTAATCTGTCATTTTTGTAATTTGTATTTACTATGCTTATGGTCTCAGTCTGTTCTTGTAAGAACTTTGTATGCTTCATACAGGTGGTAGAAAAAAATGCAGTTTCTTAGAACAAGTGGCCAAACGTCTAAAATTTGTAGGTTTTAATTATGTAGGCTTTTAATTCAGCTACATAGGTTTAATTATGTAGGCTAATGTTGGACTATCATTTTCATTCTAGTTGCTATCTTTTATGGTTTTCACTTACCGATCAAGTTAAAACATTTTGGCCAATTTAATGTAATGTGCTTTATGAATGTATTCAATAATGAACCCAAAAGATGGACTGTGAGAAGATATATTATTTTTACTTTTCCCCTATAAAGTAAGATTTTAATGTCCCTGTTGCCTTTTAGGAAATTGAGACAATGTACAGCTATAACAGAACTGCCCAGTGTTCCCTACCCACTGTGATATCATTCCTATGGGCTTTAAAATATATTCATAGCCGTAATTAAGTTGGTAGCACTGGCAGCTGGAAAAATTTGTGTGCTGTGACGGCTGAAAGATGCATTACCTACAAGTTTGTTCTGACCCTTAGGTTAATAGTAGGATGGTATTGGGGCCACTTCACCAAGAAATCCTAAGCTACCTGAAGGTTAGACAGATTCACTTCAGCTTTCTCTAGTGAGCTTGCTGGAACTCCCTGTACAATCTAATTTTTCAACAGTCTCCTAATGTGAAAACCTAAGGATGTCTGGTGCAGCATTTTTCCATTCACTTGAGTCAGCCTGTTGGAACTGCTGCAGGACATGCTTTCATACAAGCTTCTTTAGAGAAAAGTGTTTAAAAGGATAATCAATACATGCTTAATAGGTGCTTACTGACAAGTTTTGGGACCAGAAGTTTTTGTATTTAAAAACAAAAAAGTGGACCTGAAAGCTGTCATAAAAACCTACCCAACATCTTTGGAATACCAGTACTGCTTTCAGAATGCACAGCTTTGATGAGATTATTAGCCTACTAAAAACATAGAGAGGTCAAATTTCCATATTATTCAACCTGACCTTTTGATTTACAAATATGTATAGGAAAAGATCCCAATATAAAACTGTATTTTAGTTTTGAATCTAAACTTTACACAAAGAAACCTAATTCACACAGTGGGTTTTATATTTTTTTTTTTCCCCTAGATGTAATGAAGCACTTGCTTTTCACATCAGGCAGCTTTTAGTGTATATTTACTACATATCTTCAGTGTTTCACATAGCTAATTTGTGTAGAAGTAGTTTGTCTGAGGTGTCATTCAAATAGCCAGTGATCTTGATATCCTCCAGTGAAAGATAAATTCCTGCTAACACCATTTATTATGCCTGGCTAATTTATTTTCCTAACAGAATGATTTGTGTTTAACATGAACAGATGTTGGCAGGACAGACGATACCACATAAGTGTTCAGTGTTCTGTAAGAAAAACTGCTCTCTTTAAATCCTGCTAAAGTGAAGGAACAGAAGATGCCCACAGCCACAATTAGCTTCTCTTTCACAACTGAAATGCATTATACAAATATAACTAATGCCATTGGGGAAATAAAAGAATTAAACAAGAGTGTCTTCTGTTCAACCTGACAACACCTGGCATAGCAGTGGATATCCTGCTGTTGGTACCTATTACCTATTCTAGAACCAGTACACTGGCATTCTTTCCATGATGAAATAATTATCTGCACTTACCAATAAAAAAGCAGGGCTAACAAATTTCCAGCACAGTCTCCAGTAGAGGCCTGGTTTGAAGCCCATCATTTGCTGGATGTCTTCACTGAATCTGTCCACACCTATAAGGGATATGAACATAAGACTGGCATAAACCTAAACTGACGTGATGCTGGCAACACCCCAAAAATCTACTTTTTTAGTAAGCAGACACGAATGATTTCCATATCAGAAAACATACAAAATAACAACATTGGTCTCCTTTCAATGATGTGTCTTTGACGTCACTGTATCCAAGACTTAAACGCCTGTGAGCATTTAAGGCCTGTTGCAGCTGGCATTACATTGAAAAGTGTCATTGCACAAATAACTAGAATTTAAGCTGTGAATGGGACACACATTTTTTCAATAGTTGTGGCCTATTGTGACCTAATTACTCAATACGATTACAAGTATGCAGAAGGAAAACCCAGAACCTTACTCTTCACTGCTTACTGATAATAAGGTAGATTCGTATGATTCTTAATTTATCAAAGGAGTCTCTTTTTTCCACTTATTGATACACTTTACCTACTTTTCAGTGCTTTGCTGAATACCACAGAATATTCATTATACTTGACAAATGTTATTTCATCTTTTATCACCTTCTAAGGAACAAGGGAGATGCAACTTCTGTTCAGTGTAAATATGCACAAAACTACATCAGCTTGAAACAGGTGGCCTTTTTTTAAAGTATCCTCTGTGTTTTTGAAAATTATAACACCAACTAGAATTTCCAAAATTGTTACTTTTTTTAATGCAGCTAAATATCTAGTAATGTAGCTGTTGTAGATACCTGAGAAGATACATGATCTGTTCATGTGAGTAAATACATAGCATGCTAATTCTGTATCTGAATACACATTAGCGTTACACAAGTATAACATGCTTTCTGTGAGTGGTGCTAGCCTAACCTAGCTAAAGATCTTGAATCATCTACAAGTCTATAAATCAAGCTTGTCTGTATGTGGGAAATGTATTTTCTTTATTTATTCTAATAATATTAATTCATATGAACTTGCATGCTTTGGATTTTCTGGAAATTGTCTAATCCTCAGTCAGTGGGGCATTTTCTGCCTTCAGTATTTATTAGAACTCTTTTTTTTTGCATTAAGTGATATGCTATAATTTACTATGGAAAGTAAACATGCACTATAGAGTGACTGTAAAATGTCTGAATGGTAGCTTCTTCCCTTTTTTTTTTTTAATTGATTTTATTCTGGTAGGACTTAACTAGCATGAAGTATCTTGCAAAAATTTAGTCTAAGCCCATGGTATTTGGCACACTGTATTTTAGAATGGAATGATTATCACTGATATAAATGGAGGAAAAATGTCCTCAGTTTTCTTTAAAAAGAAAGCAATCTCTTAACTTTATGCCTTAGAGACACTTGCTCACAGATAAGTAATTCTTTCTAGTGCAATCTGTCATGTCAGACTATTAGTTTGTAATTTATTATACTTGATGTGTTTAGGAAGTTTACTTTTAATCCTGAATCCCATCAGGTAAACAGCAGAAATGCAGCTTTTTGCTGTGAAGATTTGTTTCTTAGAGAGGATGTTTAGTTTACCACAGTAATTGTTTTTTTTCATGTGGATCAGTTAAGTAGGATTTACTTAATCTATTTAATGTAAATAATGGTGACGGCTTAAGTTAATCCTTTACATGCAGCCAGGATGTAGCATATTCATAAGGTCTGAACATTAGAGTGTAAACTTCCCTTTGATTTTTCCTCCCTTCCCCACCCCCCCCCAATATTATGTACAGTTGAAGAAAAGTAGCCAAAAGGATCTGCAAATGCTCTTTAAATTTAATCTAATTCTGTTTGCAGGGCCTTCTGTGAACTTTAAAATGACTGAATTTCAACTGCTATGAATACTGAGTGAAATTTATCATTGTGCAGAAGGTTAAAGGACTAGATAGCTGCAAAAACGTTATTCATAGGTTTCCAGACAAACATACACACAGCTCAAATAGTGCTTGGTGTTCAATTTCTACTGGAAATGGGAGATAAGTAGGCCATGCTCTCAGCCTGCTTTTTTAACAGCATGCTTTCTCTGTACTATGCTTCTTCAAAAAACTGTTGTAAGAATCAACATGTAAAATACAACACAGCTACAGCTACAGGCAACGGCACCTGTAGGTTTGTACACAAATTAAGAGCTGTAGCAAAACTGCTTCATTAATGAGTCCTATCTTTTGGCTCCTGGGAATTACAATAAATCATAGAACCATGAAACTCTTCCTTTCGAAGGAGTTCTTGGGAGGTCTCTGGTGCAGTTTCTTGCTCAAATCCAGGTCAGAACAATTCAGAACAGCTTTCTCATGGCATCGTCCCATTAGGCCTTGAAAACCTCCAAGAAAAGAATCATCGAGCACACACTGGGCAAACTGTTCCAATGTGTATTTATCCTTATATAGAAAAATACTTTTCCTCCTTTCAATTTGATCATGGTCTTCTGTCCATTGTGCACCTCAGTGAAAAGCCCGATTCTGTTTCTTGATAGCTTCCTTGTAGGTACTTCAAAGCCACTATTAGGTCCCCCTTCAGACTCCTCCAGGCTAAACAAACTCAGTTCACTAAAATTTGTTCACAGTGCATGTACACAGCTCTTGAGTATCTTGGTGGCCTACCACTGAACTCTTGTCAGTTTACCACCACAAACTTTTACTGAGGGTCAAAAGCAGGACACAGTATTCCAGGAGAAGTATAAGTGCCAAGTAAAACAGAGTAATCATCTCCTGTATACTCCTGGCTATGCTTCTGCTACAGCTCAGTATGCACCTACTTCCTGTCTTAGTGAGTTTGCATCTATCAAATGAAGAACCCTAGTCATACCAGCCCTCATCCAGGAGAAGATGAGAAAAGACCTTGTTTTTTTTCACACAGTTCAGCAGTCATTGGCATTGAGAAAATGAGAAAGAAGGGATAAAAGGAATATAAAAGCCATTGTGGAGTGTTCATTTGCAAATCCTACAGAACGCAGAACAAGGTATCTGTTGATTAGCCATGTAGTGAAGTAACAACCACTGTCCCTTTTTGTTCCTGAGTCTCCTTTCTAACTCTGGGGCAATACTGATACTCATCGGTGGTGACCCTCATGGGGTGGCAGTGAGGGGAGTAAGCCATATAGTACCATTGCCAAGGAAGAGCAGCTGTGTTAACGTAAAAGCAAGGAGAACAGTAGGAAACATTCCCCTCCTTGGCAAAAAGGGTAATAAGCCAGCAGCCATAACTAAAATACATCTGTATAATAAAACAAACCAGCTTTCCCTTCTCTCACATATACAGCTGGCCTTTGTAAGAGGAAACTTCACAGTGAGTGGTCACAGGTATAATTTGAACGAAATTTCCATGATTGTGGTCTGTGCTAGAATGTCAATGCTTGCCTTCAGGCTGGCTTAATATTCATCTGGGTCATTAAGGCAACTGGTAAAAAAAAAAAAGAGGTAGACAAGACCATGCCAGATTTAATCAGTTTAAATAGCACCTGGGGCTGCAGTAAGTTCTTTATACAGCAACAGGTCATGCTGTGTCAGTAAAAACATAGGTCGAGTGCTCAAGACAAGTGAATAGCTATTTTCCCAGTTACAGGGAGGCAGGAGAGAGGAAGGAAAGGATGGTGAAGGACAGAAGACGCAACAAGCAAACAGAATCTGACTAAACTTGGCTTGGTTTGTGAACCACATGCAAAGCCTAGCTATTGTAAGGTGCAGTAAATCCTATTTTAATAGTAGCAGACAGCAACTTGCCTTTACTAACTGAAGAATATTTTTATGTTTCTGCTTCCAAATTAAGCTATCATCACTCTTCTGCATCCAGCTCTTTTACAAGGATTAGAGACAGTTGTCTGTCAAAAGCAGTGCTTCCACTACTTTGACAGAGAACAGCATATGAGCTGCTAAGTCCATGCTGACGTTGAGTGACAGAATTATTACATTAAAGCTAAAAACTATTCCTTTAGTAGACTGCAGAGCTTTATGCATGAATGCCATCAACACTTTCTAACTTCAAGAGAGAGTCTGACTAGAAGAATATGGTGGCACAGAACTGATGGATAAATAAGTGACTGAGGGAGGTAAATGGCATGAGAGTGATAATGTCTAAGAACCTTCTGAATAATACATTAATTCTGAATACAGTTATATACTGAATCATACAGTATCTCTGAATACTAATGAAGGGGGGAGAGAAAAATAAGTCTTTCTTTTTTTCTTATGAAACTTGTGTATCAAGTGTCTTGATTTTTATTTATGTTACTTTATGGAGGCAAAATATATCAAAAGACCAAATAAGGCAAGGGAAATTATTTAGTAAGATGTCCACATCATCTGAGACCTGCCTTCAATTGTGAGTGGTATTTTTTCAGGGTACTACAGCACATCACTGCGCTCCAGTTGGCACACAGTGATTCCAGCCTAGTGCCAGAGATCAACTGAATACTCCTAAAGCTTGCTATACAGGGGATAAAGTGAATTACTGCACCCTTTTTGTGGTGCAAATTAGTATGAAATACTAGAAATAGTACTATTTCTGGTATCTAGGATGTTGAGTATTCCATACCAGGCTATGAAATTTGATACATTTTAAACCAATAGTGCTTTACAATGAAGTAGAATATTTTCTTAGACAAAAGAGAATAACATAGGAATAACCCTCTAAAGACAAACTACTTTTATTTGTACTGCATGGGGAGAGCTTGAGATTGGCCTGGGGAAATCATGAGAAGGAGGAACAAGTGCGTCTTTAGGCTAATCTACTTGCTTTGAATGTACCAGATGTAAACCTGCTACTGCAAATCATCAGCTATGTTAAGAGCTTCAAAATACTGACAAAAGTAGCAACATTTCCATCCCACTGCAGTCTCCTTTGTAAGGTAGGGTTTTCTTTTTGGCTTTGTGTAGGGTTTCAAAGCTTGGCCCAATAGACATCTGCATTACTGGCTATATATAAATCAGATGAAAATCACTGTGTGACACCTGACTTGTGGCTTCATGTATACAAGACTATGCTGGTTTTCCTTCAATGTGTAAACTTGTCATGAGCACTTGGGATTATAGAAAAGATTTTGCAGGTGTAAAATGAAGCACTTACCATAAAACCAGGAAACTCCAATTGCCTCCATTAGAACTGCAAATAATATCGAAGTTCCAGCTGCAAATGTGTCCAGAAGTGTGAGCACATAAATTCCACCCTAGCATTGGGGAGTTAAAAGATGCAACAAAACGAAGTTACAAACAGAATTATCTCAGTAGCTTAGTATCTAATTATCAGATATCACCTTCACTTCAAACATTATGTCAATCCAAGTATTTTAATATGGAGCTGACACCGCAGACAGTGGGTGTATACAGGTTTCATGCCTGTATACAAAACAGTGGAATCAGATTGAAGCTCTTCTGAAAAGGTTTCTTTTCACCCATGTCCTCACTTAACTGGGAAACAGAAGCCTCAGCTTGGTGTGATTAATGGGTGTTCTTGGCACTCTGTGTTCAATGGAAGCTGAAGGCACTGGCTAGTCAGGGAATGCTCAGCAGCTTGTAGGACAGGGCATGTCTACAGAAGTGAATGAACACCTTCCAAAATTATTAGCAGGGACGGAGCACTACAAGAGTTGCCACAAGCCATTACCACTCAGTTTGTTTCTAAAGCAAATTATTCTGTAGTCCAGTGAATCTGCAGTCTTAGACTGTTTCCTTTTCCCAGACCGCTGGTATCTCTCTTTTCCAATGTTCCTGCAAAGCAAGCTGTTGCATGTTAAGTCCCTGTTCCCAGCCCAGTGTGGAGGCAGCTTAGCTTTGTTTGGTTTCTTGGCTGTGGTATTAGTAAGCCTTTGCTCAATGAGAGAGCAAACTAGATCCTCTTTCTTTCCAAAAGCACATTTCTGTTCTTCAGTCGTTCATGACTGAGAACTGTAAATGCATTTACTACAGTCTAGTTTCACTGATACTATTTTATTTTTAGCTCCAATTTGACTTCTTTTTGCCTCATTTTACAATGTGGTATGAATTTGTCTAAATTATTGCTTATTTTATTTAGTTTGGAGCAATGAGAAATGAAGGCCATGGTATGGTTACTTGTTTTAAATTAAACCTAAATAAAGAATGACATGTTTCAGAACATTCTTTGTCACATGTAAATAACTGAAATGTTTGCAGTTGCATAAAGTTTTTAACTTTTTTCTTTTTTTTTTTTTTTTTTTTTTTTTACAACAGAACTTGATCTAACTATGCCTCCTCAGAGGCGGAGCACAAAGGAATTATTCTGCATGGTTTTATCAATGGTATAAAGGGCACTTGGAAAATTTAAATCTGTAGGTGATTTTAATCTCTGTAATAAATTGGTTTTCTCTTATGAAATATGGCTTTCTGAAACAGCTGTGAGTATTTACAAATAGAGAGGAAAGAGTACTTAGGCCTTGTCTAGATTTTTAATTCTGTGGGGACTTGTCCGGAAACAGAATGAACTTCGGTTGTTGCATTAGAAAGAAAATGTTGCTTCTTGAATGACATTTGAGTTTGACTTCTTGTTTTTGCTGTACACCTGCTTTAAACGAATGCCTTCGTTATCAGACTTAGTAAAGTGAATGACTAATACAGTTTCATAAGAAACATGTTTTGAAAATACAGCCTTAAAATTTCAGAGGGCAACATCAAGCAGATAAATCTAATGGTATCATGAGGGTTTTTCTTTGTATTCTGTACACTTTAGAAATGTTGTTCAGTTATGTGAACCAATACATTGGACAAGTCAGGGCAGTTTTGTGTGTTCCAGCTGGTGGGGTGAACTGAAGACCAAACGGGTGTCATTATTTAAAATCTAGAGCTAGGCTGTTATCTTGAACTGCTTTAGCTTGCTTGAAGGCAGTGGAATTGCACCAACTTTAAAGGTTCTTAACAACTGGTTTTTTTCTGAGCTTCTACTTCAGGAAATTTTATTCCAGTTTAAAATTTGAATGAGGAAGGAGCATGTTCAGTTCTTTAGGTAACAGTAGACCTAACATGGTATCAAAAAGATAGGTATTTTAAATGCTGCATCTATTTTTAGTGTCTCAAACGTTTTCCACTTTGAGGAAACCAGAGTAAAGATGTTGCCGTGTTCTTTCAATGTAAAAATAATTTCATTGCCTATAAACTTATGCCATTTCAGTAATAGATCTGTAACCAGTTTTAGAGCTGGAGAGAGGTTCAGCACATCTACTTTCATGGTGGCTTCTTCAAGTTTCAGTTGTTTTTGCTTTTTCATCAAAAAAAAAAAAAATTAAAAAAAGTCTCCAATCTAGAACACTGTGATTCTCATCCTTTAATTAGATGTCAAAAACCTGGTGAGGCAGATCATGCAGGATGATGGTAGTACTAAATACAGGTCACTAGATGTTCAGGATGAGTTGTTTGTGCGCTTTTTCTGGTGTTAAATGATACGATCTATGTACCTGATGGAACATAAAGAAACCTCGGGTGAAGGAGATCATTATTCTAAACTTCTTTCACATGAAGTGAATGCTTCTTATTTGCTTCAAGAAGAGGATAGCCAAATGACCAAGTGAATGGCCACTTAAAATTCTTGGTTTCTCACACAGGACTAAGCACTCAACACAGTTACATTTAACATGAACTAAAAAACAAACCAAAACACAGAAACCCAAACAAAACCAACAGTAGCACAGACAGCTCCTTGGAAGAAAGAATTGTAGGTTCTGTTGATAGCTATAATCTTGTGCAAAAAGCAGAGCAACTTCATGTAGTTTAGGCTGAGTAATGTTCTGACCATAAAGTGAAGTGTTAAAATTTGTAACAAAAATAGTCACCTGAACCTATTCAAGTTTCTATTCAATGATAAAAACTTGCATTTTTAAGGTAGTTTATGGATGGAAATTTTTGTTGTACTTACATTGGTGATGCAAAAAAGGGCAAGTAGAAAAGTGCCAAAAGAAACACCAAAGGTGAAGAGCTTTCTGTGCTGCTTCAGAATTTGGAAATCATCCGCCAAGCCAGTGATGACAGCCTCCATTCCACCCATCTGACGAAGAGAAGGCAAGAGTTTTGCTTAAACACTACTGGCTGTTGCAAACTCAGATCAAAGAATGGAAAGCAACTTGTATAAATAATTCCCAACCACTGTACGATTACTGACATTTCAGCTGTAGATCACTGCCATTTGGAGGTATGTTTTAATACCTGTGGTAAAGAACTGAGTGAGAGAGCTGGACATCAAGTGCCATGGTTGTTGGCTCAGTAGCCATATCCTCTGTGACCATTTCCTGGCTTACCAGGACAGTAAGCAGACAGTACTTTGGGAAAAATAATATACATTTTAATATGCTTTGGGGAAAAAGCTGGTAGCTTAAGCAACCAAACTCCTTAAGAGAATTCCAACACAAAGACAGACACAAGAAGCACTTAGGGGAAACATAATGAACAAAGATTCAGTTTAGCCGTTGAATAACCAAATCCAGTTTGACAGAAATCTTTATAGATCTGAGAGATTCCCTCCATAGGAAGCTTGATATCTTTTGTTGACAACATGAAAGAATTTTATTCTGTTTTCTGGAAGTTAATGCTGAACTTCAGCCACTGTGCCTGAATTAGCAATTGTTGCGCAATATAGGAAAGGTACTTTCCATGCTTTCATTGAAATTGCTGGGTTATGTAGGTGGTTATAGATTTTAATTTCTTTCCACCATTGAAAGCATTCTGCCTCTGCTCCACTAGGAAGTTGAAAAAATAAATTCCGGTTCCTTGTCATAATAAATAAGTGTATTTAATGTTCTGGGGAGGCTGGATTCCATGCTGGCATAGCCTGTCCCTTACCTGTAAGAATTTGATGAAAGCAGTGGTTTTGGTTGAAATCAGTAGCAGAGGATTATCTCTCTACAGTGTGAATGATTCCAGTCTAGAGCCAAATTGGTGGAGGCAGTGGATCGATTTCTTTTTTTTTTAAAGGTAACTAATATTCACAAGTAAAATGTCCCAAAGCCTCATGTTGGCTTGTACTTCTTAATGTCTATGGGTGCAACAATGAGTGCACTGCAGTTAAGATGGGTTAATATTTGATATTCTCAGAAGTTGTAACTGTGTTGGCACCTAAATGGTCTTGGAGAAGTTGAAACTGGAAAGAGGAAGTTTGAATGATTTTGTCTAAGGACCACTCCTTAATGTCTCATGGTTTACTCTTCTTGTCAGTTCCCTATGCCAAGTTAGATACCTACTCTAAAAAAATGTCTACAAACATTTGTTCCATTTTCTGTCCTTTTCATTGTTTCTTGCTTAAACGTGCATGGTCAGATTTCTCTTTGCTTAAACATTTTGACAGTTTCACACAGATGTCTGTATTTCTGTGCCAGTGCATGCTTATATGTGTGAATAAAGGTAGTTCTATCTAATTATTCCTCTTTAGTTTTAGGGTTATTCGATTTTTAGCTTTAAAAATTTTCATTGTCCCTTCAGGGACTTAATGTGGGGGATACTTGAGGAGACCACCACAAAAATACCCTATGACCTGACTTTTCGTGAGTAAATTATGAAAAATCATGAACAAAACATGAACAAACAAATTCTTCACCTTTTAAACAGAAAAATCTAAACTTGGCCACAGTTTCTCAGTTCACATTATTTTAGTCAGCTGCACAAAAAAGAGCTTTCTCCACCTGTAAGAAAAGTATGTTCTGTGATCTAAAGGCTTGTGCATTTTTTACTCAAATATTTCTTTGTTGCCTTAAATTTACTGCTGTTGCAAAGTTAACTGGTTTGGATCTAAACACTTCTGAGCATCTGTTTTCTTCTTAATTCTGCCCTCTTCTACTGGCCATTCATGCTTTTTCAGTGCGCTAAACCCTTCCTTTCCATTCTTCATATTTGCTTACAGTTGGAAAGTGGCCAAGCTACAAAGCCAGACATAATCGTGCCTCAGACTTTTGAATAAGGATTCAGATCTTTGTGTATAAAGACAAACTTTATTGAATGTGAGCTGGAATCCAAAAATCCAAACAAGTCAGAAACATTTAGACCCAAATCTGACCTTTACAGCTCAGGCCTCACTCCACAAGATCTCATTCTATTTGCCAATGATTACCAAAGTTTCCTTCTGCAACCTTATTTTACTCAGTTTTGTTCTCCTCTGTGTCAATTCATTCTCTCCCTCTCTTGTCCTTGAAAATTAAGGAAGTTTTCTAAAGTTGTAAGCAATGGAAATGCTGTGTTTTGGCATTTCCAGCAAGAAATTTCTAGATTAGCTGTGTACTTTCAGAAATACCAAAGACACTTCTATGCTTTAGAAGAGTAAGAAACCCCTATCCTACTAAATGCGATAAATGCTTTGTCATGGTTCACTATTTCTTAAAGACCCTGGATTTTTGCCCCCCAGAAATTAATCAATCTTTAAGTGGAATGTAACAGGATGTCTTGATGTCTCTTTGGCAAGAACAAAACAGTGATGTTGGGTCATACTTTAAAATAGTAATAACTCTTGGTGAACAGCCCCTCTTATAAGGTCATAAAAAAGCAGCATTAAGTAATTATTTACTGGCTTGTAAGAGACTTGATCTTTTCCTAAACCTTTTAAATATTGTGAGCCTTTAAAATATACGGTCAAGATTCGTATTATTGGTATGTTGGCTGTGACTGTGAAAACAGATTCAGGGAACATACAGAATGTTTATTTAAAATGTAATAAAGCCCCTGTTTAAGGCTGATACCTCTCCAGTTACAGAATATAATAGCAAATGAAAGATGTCAAGGCTTGAAGGAAAAAATACTCACAGAACTGTCTATACCAAGAGTAAGGAGCATGATGAAGAATACCACAGCCCAAAATGTAGATCCTGAAAGAGTTGAAATTGCCTCTGGATACAGGATGAAAACTAAACCAGCTCCTGAAATAGGAACGAAAAGTTTTAAAAAAAAAACAAACACCAAAAAACAAATGATGTTGCTTATCCTCACAAAAGTGTTCATTTAAAAAAATAAAATATGATTAAATAGACTTTTACATCAGTTCACATCACACTGAGTAGCTGTGAAAAGAAAATTTGTGTTATACCAAAAATATATTCAAAGTACTTTAATAACGTACTCATGACAGTTTCATACTAAGAAGAAAAATCTCTATCCCATTCTTTTTCACTTCTATTAATCTTTTTATTGGATTTACATCCTTGCTAGCTCTTTTTCAACTGTGTAGTAGAGAAGGAGCCATGCGGATGTGGACCTTACTGTTTGGCAGGAGAACTTGGATGTGATGAGAGATACAGGAACTGAAATCATGAGTGATCTGTTAACAGTGAAAGGACTTTACCAGCTAAACTTATGAGAACCATCCAAACTAGTAAACTGTGGTACTGAGCAGCAATGCTTTCACAGCATACTATGCAGGGGTAAATGTCGCTTTGTTGCACCGGCTAAACTTGTGAGGAGCTAGATGTTTGTGAACTTCATTTCAGAGGAGGCAAGATGAATCAATACCACTTAGAGTTCACTTTTCAGCAGGACATTTACACACAAAGCTTTAGCTCCAAATAAGCTAATTCAAGTAATTTGCATAAGGTTTTCACACACTGAAACAAATATAAACACATTTATTGGATGAAAAAGGGTAGAACTAGTATAAAATTAACTTCCTACCTTCAGTAGCTACATCCTCAATTTTAACTTTGTGCTCATGAGCCATGTAGCCCAATATGGAGAAAATTGCAAATCCTGAGATGAAGCTTGTGACACAGTTAATGGTACTAGTCAGCAAAGCATCCCTAATAATGGAGAGAAGAACAGCCCAGTGGAAAAAAGTCAACAAAAAATACTTTAAGAATAGATGGGGATTGGTTCATAGGAAGATTCTCATCAAAATGCTTATTGTAAAACTCTTTTGATGACCTAAAGCTTGTATCATCACACTATGCTAGGAAATAACTTTTGTTTACTATTTGGATTTAAACCAGAGTTCTGTTAAACCCACAAACCAACAAAGCTCTATTAAATATTAAGATACTAAAAAGCAATGTGTTGTAAATGCTACTGAACTGAAGTGTGCTTTTATGGTTATAACTAAACCACAGTACTCAATGAAAGTACAGATTACTCTTACACGGAAGGCCAGGCTTATGAAGTGATATTGAACAAATATGTTAAGCTAAGAACTATATAATATGAATTTGCATATAGTCTGTGGGGGTATTTTCTCAGGTTCAAGTGGATTTTTTTCCATTTTGAATCAAAATTAGAATACAGAAGAAAAATACACAGCAGCTATAAGATAAATGTAAAATTACTTGAAGATGATGGTAACTATTATTTCGGAAGACTGCTGCGGTTAGCATTCTAACTGAAGGGTTCTCAAACCTTGTAATAGTACCTACTGCAAATAATCAGCTGGCAACCCAAAGCTGCTTTCAGGTAAGTACAAAACTCTGAAGTTAGTGGAAGTGTTCCATGATTTTGGCTTTCAGTCTGCTTAAGGCAGTTCCAATCTATGCATTTTCTGTTACCTTCTCATTTCAACATTTTTTTTTTTTTTTTGCCATCCTTCAGTTCACAATGTATTTATAACACCTGTACTTTCTGAATTTATATTTCATGGGAAAATTTAAAGCTATGATTGTTTTCATTCCAAAATGGAATGTTAACAAGACTTCTAAATGTTGGAAGTTCTCAGAAGGTGCAGAGTGGTTCTGGCTGAATTTCCATGGTGGTGATTCAGCAAAATACTTACAAACTGACTTGATTTAATTTAAAGTGCATTGTTAAATTAGAGCTCAACATAAAATATCAGAAATAATCCCAGGGCACAGAAACACTGCTGGAAACTGGAATCCTTCTTCTTTTAGTTCCTGAACCAATAAGACTTCATCCTGTGTTCACTGTTACACTTACTGGTGCTTTTGAAAGGCAAACACAAGCACAGTTTACACAGCTGTCTAAAGTCCAAACCTAATCCCATTCTGTTTTGCTGTACAGCAGATTTGTTGGCAGGTTCCTGATACTAAAATTTCAGTAAGGAAGACAGTGTTTCAGGATTTGGGTTGGCTGCTTTGTCTGCACAAGACTAAGCATTAGTGATAAATGACTGAAGATAGAAAGATATGTGAGTACTTACTCTAGACGCAGTTCAAGTAAAATAGTATTGCTGTGAAACAGTAAAAGAACATGTGAAAGAACAGGCTGTCTTACCTGTAACAGTTGTTGTCAAACTTATTATAACTGGCAAATGCAATTAAAACACCAAATCCGGCTCCTAAGGAGTAAAATATCTGAGTAGCTGCATCAATCCACACCTGCATAATGACACCAACATTATCAATGTCAGTTCAGTCCAAAAGATACATCAGGAAAATGCAAGAAGTGTACAAGACAGATGGCTTTTGAAAAATGATCAGCATTCAAGCTCATGGGAGTGTGTTTCTCAGTCTCATGAGATGTCACATGGAGCACAGTCGTGGTCCAGAACAGTTTAACCTGAAATGGTAAGGGCTGAAGCAGTGGGCAAGCACTACCACAGTGTGGGGTACTAGTTGAATCTGTGCTTCTGAGCTTTTACTGAGTACTGAAATGATTGCATGACTTTTCTCCTGGGTGGCAGAAATGCATTTCCAATAGCTCTTGTTCCAAGATAATTTGGACAATCAGAAAACTAAAAATATACAACGGGTCATGAGTCATAGGACATTTTCTTTCCCATGAGAGAGCTTTCTTCATGGGATTGTTAGTACATTTTATATGATGCTTTCCTGTTTCAGAAGCTGAGGCACAAATGATGTGCTGTGAACAGAACCACACATGTTATCTGTCACTCTTCCTGCTTAGGTGGAAAAGGAGTTATTCCTGTGGTACTCATTAAATTTCAGTTTAGATGCAGCTTGGTAATTTTTAGGATTGTGCACCAAAGAAAACCTGCTATTACTGCTATACCATTTTCTAAAATGACCATCCAGCTCAGCATCCATGTGCAGACAGCAGTCAGGAACAATGCATGCTGCTGGTGTCCTGAATCAGAAGCCTGAAAATAGCTTACCCTGGTTAATTGGGGTTCCACATATTAAATTTTTATGAAGAGATATTTAAACAAGAATCTTCAACAAAGGTCTGGAATTCAAGACTGCAAAAAGTACTGGATTTATCTCCACCCAGCTCTATAAAATCAGATCTAATGTATCTGTTTAGCAGTGGCATTTTAACAGATCTAAGCTGCTTATAAGCTCCATCTACATGGGGGCTTTAAGCTAAGCTCTCGCATTTGGCCCGGTGGAGAGAGATTTCCTTATCCCATCCTAACATGATATATGAAATCACATTAGTGATCAATTTTTTTTCTCAGCATAAGTGATAGATGCTTCCAACTACTGTGTGTTGAAGACTGTGACCATTTACTGAACTCTGGATTTGTAGAGAAACTTAGTTTTATGAGTTTTAAGTTAAGTACTTGAAACATAACATGAAGAACAATCTACGTGTTTATTGGAAACCAGTGGATAGGCAGATATGATTTCTCTCAAACTGCAGTTCATACAGGGCTTTCAGGTATCATGGATTTCTTTTACTAAATAGCAAAATGATCCTGTAAAATTAATTCCTTGATCATTCCTTTTGTGTACCCAGTTACACCTTCATGTTCTACCTCCACATAAAGGCTGGTATCAATGACGATTGTACTCTCTGAAAAGTGCTTAGGTGGATAAGAGTTCAGGACAGGGTGATGCAAAGCCTCCTGTACCTTTTCTTGCTTTTTAAAGCTTCTTACGAGTTGCGTTGTTAACAAATTTCCTGAATTTTCTTAAAATAATTTTTGCTTACACTATAACTGCCACCAGCTACTTGTTTTTAGTGGCTCTGTAGCTCGTTGTGTCTTGGCGGTGCCATTGTACTCATTATTGCTTTCTTAATATTAAAGCATCTTTCAGCACATGCTTAATTCCTAGTGATTCAAATAAGAGGTTAGCACTTGCTGCCTACCAAAAGAGTTATGCGTATGCCCAAGTATCTGTCGAGTAAGAGCCTTGGCTCATAGTAACTTATTAGGAAACCAATTGAGCAGATCAGGGTGAAGGGAAAAATTAGCAGAAGCCATTAATTTCTTTAGAACTGAGATTAAATGCAAAATATTCCCTTTGCTATAAAAAAAGCGGGATTGTGAAACAGGCAGTGGGGCTTGTTCTTCTGTAGTTCATGCTCATTTTATCTATTCACTTCAGCTGAATGGCTTCTGATTGATGCATAGTCTAACATATGTTATAGTAGGGTATTGATTTTGTATGCATTAAAACTGAAAAAAATATAAACCTTTTACATGAGGCAATCATCATCTTTTGAGCTTTCTTCATAGTTTAGTTGTTTATGCCATTGTAAGTTTTGTGCATGTTCTGTCTTCTGTATGTGGATTTAAAGAATTACTGTGCTGTGTGAAAAGGACACATTGCGTGTTTCTTCAGGAAACTTGTTAAGGTGTATAAAAGACTGAGTGTCTCTTCCTCACATATGATTTAATTCTGTAACACATTTCTTTAGGAGAACAGAAGTGTAGCTGCTGTTTTACACAGGTGTTTAATGTATCCATTTGTGTGGTGGTGATGAGCATTGTGGCTTTGTAGCTCCTGGCCAGTCAGGAAAGAACACAGCTAAGTATTGGTCTAGTTAAGAGATATGAGTATCTTTCTTTCCTTTTTATAGACACATTCTTTGTGGATTCAGTATTCCCAAAAATTCACATGTCTCAGGCTTTGCTCAGTGCTGTGCGGTATGTGGCTCCATAAAATGAAGCAGAGCTTGACATGGATCAGGATGCTCTAAGGTCTTTCAGAGGAGCATTGGCCGAGGTCATTACTGTTTGTGACTTACAATGTTCCTTTGTTTGATTTTTCATGTGGGAGAAAAAAAAACATAAATCAGAAAGATTCAGGAACTCACAGACATAGAGCTAAAACAGGAGTCTGTTCTTTGGAGCCTGAGGACAAAGATTAAACACACAAGGGTATTGCATCAGCAGGTATCTCAGTCTCCGAGCAGGAGAAAGGCTGATGTGCCAAAGCAGTTTGTGAAAATTCTCCTTATAACTGATCGTTAGTCTTTTATTATTCCTGAGCAACTTTTTTGTTGTTGTTGTTGTCTGAAAAAAATTAGTCTTAGAAACAAATAACTTCAGGGTCATCCAAATAGCAGCTGCAGAAACATTAAGCCAAGGAGGAGCAGTGCACAGAATATCCTTCCAAAAGCAGAAGGCAGAAATGGTTATGAAGGTCTGGATTATGAGCTGATGCCAGTTGGCACAGCTCCATTGACATTTTCTGAACTTGTGATGTTCTTTTCAAACAGCACTTAAAATACTTTAGAAAACTTTAAGCACCTACTTTGTTCATCCTTGCATCTTTGTATTTATGTGTATGCATGAATGTGAACTACTGAGGTGGCTACTGCCTTGGTGACAAAGGTGAATGAAAGACCTATACCTGAAGTTCAGTTTGACTATTTCAAAATGGAGTGAGATGGGGTCTGGGTTCTAGTGGTAACTTCTGTTGTGAAAGAAACGCCAGTTTCCAAATTCAGTATTACAAAGCCAAGGAAGGATTGGTTTGCTAAGAGTATATAAAATAGGTCTGTATTCTAACTCTCAGGGTGTTTTTAAATATTCATGGAATAGGTTGCCCAGGGAGGTTGTGAATGCTCCATCCCTGGCAGTGTTCAAGACCAGGTTGGACGAGGCCTTGGGTGATATGATTTAGCGTAAGGGGTCCCTGCCCATGGCGGGGGGGGTGGAACTAGATGATCTTAAGGTCCTTTCCAACCCTAACGATTCTATGATTCTATGAAAAATCAAGATAGGATGCATAGGTAATGTACAGTGCCACTATGTACAGATTACAGACATCTCTGAAAGCTGCAGATTTTCTGGATAGTTTGTTTCATTCCGGTAGAACTACATCATTGATTTTTACTTTTGCAACCATTTGAATGGCCTCATGACCCATTCACAGAGAGACCAGTCTCTTAGAAATTATTTATGATATTTTTGGAATAGCATAGTGGTATGATCACTCTAGTCACCGGATCATTGTTGTTTGTGGGTCTGAAATGCTGCTAACTTCGTAAGTTAGTGACTATACTCTTAGATCTGGCTTTACAATGGATGAAATAATTCTTAGTTCCAAGGTACTCCTCAAATTGAGTTGGTTTGTATATATTTAGTGAGAATGTCTTGCAATGTTGTTAAATGATACAATGAAATGTACATTACTTTCATTAGTAAGATAAGAACACCATACTATTGAAAATTTCTTTCTTATGAAGGACCATGATTTGATTAGGTGAGTTAGTTCTGATTTAGTACGTTTAGCAAGGTTTTCATAGGCCAGGATTTTTGTTTACCAGGTTAATATTTAACCTCATGATTCAAAAAGCAAATTTTTTTTTATTGACAGCATTCTTAGCCTTTTGAGAACTGACTTTTGCATGACTCAATTTGCATGTATAAAGGATACTGCAATTTACAGCATCTCAGTCAAAGCATGAACTTTTTAAGGGACTATCACACCTGAAACTGCCCTTGCACAGGTTTACTGTGATCAGAACAGTTTGAGTTGAGGCTGAGAAAGTTCTGCAATGGAGAGTGCTGGAAAGTTAGACCTTTACGGACAGTGGACTAGTTCTTCTGCAAAAGCAGAATTGTGGCTATATAATTTGAGAAATCAGCTGTAATATTTTCATCTGTAATAACAGGGGCAACAGGTTTAATAGTAATAAGGGAATGAGAGCAGAAGAGTACACTTACTGTGGCTTCTTTTAATCTTCTGAAATCTATGTGCAGGTATGCATTTATTCCATTGTATGCACCAGGCAGGGTTATTCCATGTATTAACAAGACAAATAATACAACATAAGGCAAAGTGGCTGTTATCCAAACAACCTGCAGACAACAGAGACCCCAAAGGTTAATCACCTGTTACAGAAGATTTAAGAAGGAGTGAAAATTACAGGTAGTGTTTTCTTGGGTTTGCCCATTCAGTTCAATGGAGAAGCTCTTTATAGGATGTCCTGGGGGCAAAATGCTGTTATGAGTCTTTATGTATATGTTTACTGATACTAGTAGGGGACAGTTTAGACAAACAGAAGACTTGGACTGCTTACACATTACCAGTGTATTAGACTACTGATTAGCTATTCAGCTGCATATTCATTTACTAAAAAAGTACATTTATTGCCTGCTGTTATTTGACACCTTCATGACAATGTACAGAAAGCTCTCAGATGTATCCAACCCTAGAATTGCGTTTAAGGTGTTTTCTGAGAGATGTAAAAGACTAATTTCAAATTACTTCATTGGCTATTTCTCCTGCCATTATTATATAACAAAACCAAAGCATCTTATACCATTGAAACATTGGTACTTTTGGCTAAGAAAAGGAGGCATGTTTCAGACAACTTAAAAGTCTTTCAAAATATTTGCTGGATGAGACCATTAGTGTTGAATCAAAAATAATCTGATAATAGAATTTCCAGTAAAACTTGTAAATAAGATAAAGACTGAATTGGGATTGTGTATTTCCACTGTACAAATGTGAAGGTCTCTCACATGGTTTGGTCCACAGGGCTCCCTCAGAAGCAGTGATTTAGCCTCTTGCTTTCTAAAAACAAGAGACTTCTTAAACGAGACAAAGAAGGTGGTTGAGATAGAAGGACAATATTAGCTCTACCTTTCCTGAAGTCTTCACGCCTTTCCACAGACTAAAGAAAAGAATGATAACCACCACCAAGAGGCAGAGGGAAAGTTGCCAGCGAGGCAAGCCAAGGTCATGGATTCCACGGCTTTCGTGCAGGTGCAGAACTCCTCGCCTACATACCAGATATACAGAAACAAAGAAGTCACTTGGAGAAAAGGCTCTTACATATCTCATGGGCATCAGAAATGGATGCTGCACTGCAGCTGTAGTTGCCCTACTGACATTGCTAGCAGTTAGTGGAATCTGTTTTGTGGAGCCATGTATTGTGGTTCTTCTACAATGCCTTTATGGTCTCATTGTCCACCCATGTTTGTTTGGCACCATAGTGCCGTAATGATAGCACTCTCCTTCACTGGAAGTCTGGAAGTGTCTGGGGATTTTGGAAGTGTCATTTGTTGGTTCTTGCTTGAACAATGAAGAGATGGAGAATCTCCATCACTGGAGATTTTAAAACTTGGCCCATAAAAGCCTTTGAGACTGATTTATTTTTGAAGTTAGCCTTGAATTTGTGTAAGGAGTTGTATTAGGTGACTTTCGGAGTCCTCTTCCAACCTAAATTATTTTGTGATTCCAGGTAAGCAAACAGCTGGATTCCTGCAACTTGAACAGTTCCAAAATTACTTTTGATTTCTATTTGAAATAGGCTATTGCTAGGCTCCAAAAGTGGCTGGGTAGGAAAAGCAAGTGCTGGAAAATTTAAACTGTTATAGTGCTCTGTGGTGTTCACTGAGGCAGTAGAGTGATAGCAGAGGAAATTTTGTTGCTCACCAGGACAGGCTAATTCTTTTGAGACATCTACACAATGAAATGGATTGAAGTGTAAAAAAGTGTCCTCATAACTGGTGACACCTACAATTAGAGCTGTCAAAACACAATGTATGCAACCGGCATAGGGAAATGGGAGAGATGTTACAGTGGATCTTGTTTTAATTCAGATCTATGCTACTGAAGTGTCTCTTGCTGCTTTTACAAATCTAGAAAACGCAGAAATACTTTGCTTTACTGAAAGCTGTACTTGCACAGGGGAACGGCGCTGTGGCTGGAGCCCTGCACTAGAGGTGAATTGCAGAGCTAGCTTCTGGTTCTGATATGGATCTACAGGATGCTGCCTCAGGGATTCAGTTTCTCAGTGTTTCAGTGTTCATCCAGATAAAATGGAAAGAACCTTCCTTGCCTCCTCCCTTTTCTTGATCAGCTTTTATTCATTATGCACTGCTTGGGTAGAACAGAAAGTTGATCCCTGTTGGCTTTTCTTACCACCGTGACAATGCAAACAAATCAAATCAAAGAAACCCTTTGGTTTGGAGGTCCTTGACGTATTTTAGGTAGGTAACTACTTTTAGAGAAACTGAAGAACTGATTGATGTGACCTGCATGACTGCAGACATGCAGAGACTAATTAGAGGAGTCTAATTCCAAACCCATTGGCTGTCCTGATACAATCTCTTACTAGATAGATGGTGCTTCAGAATTAACTTAAATACTTTTCTTATCAAGCCAGAGCTGAATGAGATAGTTTAATAACTTCCAAGATAAGGCAAACCTTTGACAACTTAAATAGGGAAAACTGAATTATATCTCTGTATTACTTAAACTATAGAGACATGCTGGAAAAATTAAGGCCCATTAGAATGATCCATCTAGTAACATGAAAAAGTTGTATACAATTTTCTTTTAACCCCTAAAGCATCAAGATATGATCAGCTAAGAATTGTATTAGTTCCACATCTGTAGTTTCTCATGTGTAATAAGAAATTCTATGTTTCTGAATTGTTTCTACGATTAATCCTAGGTTGGATGAAAGACACTTGCAGAAAGCATCCTCCTGAATGAAGCAGCTGATCCATTTGTGTTGCATTGTAAGGCTAACAATAAGTAAGGCATCAAAAGTGTAGTGACCATGTGTTTGTGGCATGTATTCAAGAATGTTCCTATTTGGAAAGTATGAGGTGAGTTGAACTCTTACTATACAACAATATACCAACTTAACAATACAGCTGTTACCTGTGAAAGCAGTAAAACATAGAGACAGACTTCTTTATCTCATCTGAAAACCTATTATCTTTAATTAAATGTAAATAAATAGGTAGGTCTCTAACCTTTGCTTAGAGTGCAAATGAAAGCTATTTGCATTTCTGCTAATAAAGTATAATTTGCCAGAGGATCCCCAGACGTAAGTGAATCCTGGGCAGGGATGCCTGACTCCCTTCTAAATTACCAGGCTGGGCAGTGATAAATACAGTCAGGAAAAGCTTCATGAGTTTCTGATCAGAACATTTTTCAAGGATCTTGGGAGGGTTTTGGCAATCTGTGCTGTTACAGTTATACTGCTGTCAGTATTGGAGCTGGATGCTGCAAAGAAAGTCCTTTGGATTATAATATTAGATGTCTACACATAAGAACTGTATCTGAACTTGCATTCTTTGGGCCCATTTAACTTTTTCTTCTTCTTGCCTAAATGTTTTTTCTGGATTTGTAAGGAAGCCTACTTCCTCGTGTGTTTGCTTTCCAAGAAGCAGCTTGCAATGTATCTTGCTGTCTGGAACACTTGCCAGAACTGCCATTTCAAATGTGGGATTCCCAGGATTTTCAGGAGCATCTCCATTCCAAGTGTTCTGCTTGCTTAATCAGGGTAAGGGATCATAAAGCAGGAAGAGAAAAACAGTAACCAGTCAAGACAGCTGTGTAACTAGGCAACTACACAAGGAAAACTTCATAGACAGCTGCTGTTTCTGAGCTGTAATTCTGGCAGGTTTTACTTCCTTTTCTTTTTTGTTTTTCTTTGTGACCTCTGGAGATAGTAATAGAAGCTTTCCAACAGATGCCCCTTCAGAGGGTTGCTGGGAAGTAGTTCATGTTTACCTACTAGAAACCACATTTCTGTTCCAGCAGCACTGTAAACTATAAAATATCTAGTGGTAGACTGCGATTTAGCTGAAGATGTGCTGACATGTGAATAGATGGAGGAGAGAAGCAGTTGCTAAAGGGTTAGATAGACTAAACCTTCTTGGTTTGAAGGACTTGGCTTTATTCTTTGAAAAACAGGCATTTTTTTGGAGAAGGGCAGATTTGTAAAGAACTTTTCATATCGTCTTCATCCAAGTTTGCATACATCAGTGATGCTATAAAAAATTCAGTTAGCTCAATTATGCCACAGTTATTCTTTTTTCAAGTTAAAAAAAAAATGCTTGTACTTATTTCAGGAGCAGCTGAGGCTGTTTTAAACCTGTCTATGTTAAGACAAGTTGAGTGATAAATCTCTGACAGGCTTCTTTCAATTATACTCCATCGCTTCCCTTATACTGCTCACAAAAAGGGAAACATGAAGTAAGAGATACTGCAAGATTCCCCATTCAGGAAGCTCTGAGGTCAAAACACCTGAATTTTTAGCCTTTTGATATTATAGCAGAATAATGCAGTGTGCCCAGTGACTTTTCCTAAATCGAGGTTGCTTTCACTAGCTGCAGGACTGACCCATTACCCAGTCTATAAAGGCATGTACAAGTCATAGACAAAATAGCATAAACTGGTCTCTCTTAAATCCCTGCAGGGAACCAGAGGAGATACAACACCTACAAATGTCAGCTTCTGTTGTCTATCAGCTTCTTTAAATCATGTCCAGAGGTACCGAGAAAGTCTTAAGTAAAAGCTTCTGGAAGCATGTCATGGATTCTTGGTTTATATGTTAGAGATGTATGTCCAATTCTGCTCCCAAAAGAAACTCTCATAATTTAGAATGCTAAGTCAAAGAGAAAGGAAGAATCAGAGGCAGTAAGGCAATTGGAATTAGTATTTTGCTTATAGTGTGTTATTGAGAAAAGAATAAAAGTAGATGAGAAATTTGTGCAAAAAAGGAGAAGAAAATGTCATAGGGAAAAGAATGGCAACAAACATTAGCAGATGGAGCTGACGAAGTAGAACAGGGACCTATTATATTATGCTGGGCAAAATGCAAGAGGAGCTAATAAATCATTTAAGCTTTCTGATATTCTAGTCAGAGCTCTAGCCATATTTAGTTAGTATAGCACCAAGCATCAAAGAACATGCATTAGAGATCAGAAATTCTTTTCTTTTTCTATCAGGGTTTTGTGCAAAGGAGCCTGATTTATCCTAAAAGTGCTTTCCATGTAAGGAAGTAGAAATTACATTTGCAATGACTTTGAGACCGTACATCACTGTACCTATGGGTCCCAAGAGTCTTCCTGCCTATCTGCAAGAACAGCAGGAAGGTGGTTTCACGTTGAAATGGCATTCAGAGATTTCAACTTCTCTGTCTGGGAGATTTGTTCTCATTCTCTCTTTTCCTGTGCTTTCTGCTGGGAAGATTCCCCTAGTCACCCAATAACCCTGGCACCAATTCTTGCCTTACTTCCACTCTTCATTCAGTTAAACAGAAATAGTTCACCTCTGCTGAACTCAGTCAACAGCCATTCATTTGCTGGTACCATTGTCCTCTGCTTTGTCTTCATGCAGCACCTGGGTCCTCTTTAATTTGGTGTCAGAACACAAAGAGCCATCAGGAAGTCCTGCTGTTTGGAATTCACACATAAGCCCTACTAAAGACAAATTATTGGGGGGGGGGGGGGGGGGGAATGCTGTTCAGTGGGACTCAGTAAATGAAGAATCCAGTCATAATTTTAGTAACAGCTAATATTGCAACCAATAAATCCTCTGTGTTTTAGTGTTCTCACTATCAAATAAGGATTGTTAGAAACCTTTGCTTTTACTCCACTGAGCAATACAGAACACACTGTTTATGGGACTTGTGAGTATTTGAGTATAAACAGAGAGCCAAACCAAAGAGAAAAGAAACACCCAAGGATAGTGGCCTTAAAATTACTTTGTATCTTTTTCAATCCAAAATCCTTAATCTGTACCCAGAAATCAGGAGGTGAGTTTTTGGTGTAGAATTCTCTTAAACATTTTTGTCAGACTAGTTCTAAGGACTTTCTAAGGAGCCTTTTGTATTACTTAGCCCTAGGCAGATTTATGTCATGGCATTTTTGAAATTTAGAAGGTTTTGCATAAACAGTTCAAGTGAAGGTCTTGGAGCAGACCTTGTTTTTTTCAATCCCAAATCAATTATAATCTTAGATTTCAGTCCAAATATTA